GTCGTATTTGGGGGCGCCCGAGGGATCGGAAGCAGGCCCTCTGGGGAAAGGGCCTCTGGGGGCTCTGCGTCTGCACTCAGAACTCTGCCTGGGTCCGAGACGCATGACGAGAGCAAACACTGCCTGCAGTGCCTCCTGCCAAGCACAGGGACGAAGGACGCCCCGCGCGCCTTGTCCCTGAAATTGCGCAATATCACGCGCAGCTTTGGCCTACGAGCACGTCTTACGACGAGGAGCTCGAAACAGCGGAGACGCTACTGGCGGACAAGCACGTAGACGACATCAACATGACTGGAAAGGAGGAAACCATTGATCGCTACGTGAAATGCGTCGGAAACACGTTTGGTGCATGCAAACTCAACAAACATACTTACACGAAGTGTGCCGTCAGATGCACAAGCAATGAGCATGGCGATGTAACGCTGGATCAGGCCGAGTATATCAAACAACTTCGTCCTATCCAATACCCAGAGCTCACGGGTTGAGGCTAAGGAAAAAGCCGCGCAACTTGTCGCGGACATGTTCGTGGGCCTCCGTGGATCATTCGCTGATGCCCTCATAACCCAAGTCTGGTCGATGGTATGCGTCGTTTCACTCCAACGGGTGCAAAAACTTACGAACGCCCAGGTACGGCGGTTAAACGCCACGGCGGCGACTCTGGCTACCGACGGTTGACCAGGGACGCTGAAGACGAGATGAACGGGTACATATGGCATCAGAGGCGCTAACCTACTCCAGCGTGGATACACGCGTCATGGCAAACCCGTCGTACACCTCATATATGCCTGTTGCGAGTTGCATCGGCCGCAGGTAAGGTCAAACTATTCCGCGGAAGCGCTAGCAGCAGCCCGCAATTTAGAGGACTGATACCCGACAGATGTTACCTACACGAACTTTAAGTGGGACCGATAACACCAACACAATTCTTTACGCTTCGCGTATCCCCACCAGCCCATCTCAAAACAGCAACTCTTGCGAAGCATGCCGACAGTCGTGTTTTTCAGGCGTGTTTCCGCCTGCCCCCGCATATCTCCCCTGTTCCTCCTTCCTCCCGCCTCCTTGTACATCCTCCTTGTGGTGGGAGCGGGAGAAGGACGAGGCGGAGGAGGAGGGAGAGAAAGCGCTCCTCGTGGTTTGAGTCGTTTGGGGTTTCTTGTCCTGGTGTGAGTCGTTCGGGCCCTTCTTCCTGGTGTGAGTCGTTCGGGCTCTTCGTGATGTGAGTCGTTCGGGCTCTTCGTCCTGGTGTGAGTCGTTCGGGCTTCTCGTGGTGTGAGTTGTTCGGGCCCCTCGTCCTCGTGTGAGTCGTTCGGGCCCCTCCTCCTGGTGTGACTCGTTCGGGCTCCTCGTGGTGTGAGTCGTTCGGGGCCCTCGTCGTGGTGTGAGTCGTTCGGGCTCCTCGTGGTGTGAGTCGTTCGGGCGCTTCGTCCTGGTGTGAGTCGTTCGGGCCCCTCCTTCTGGTGTGAGTCGTTCGGGCTCTTCGTGGTGTGAGTCGTTCGGGCCCCTCGTCCTGGTGTGAGTCGTTCGGGCTCCTCGTGGCGTGAGGCGTTCGGGCACCTCTTCTAGGAGCGTCTTGGGTGCCTTGGGGGAGCCTCTTCGGGCCTCTTGGGAGCCTCTTGGAGGCCGTTTGGGGCGTCTTGGGGGCCTCTTGGCGGCTCCAGGGGCTTCCAGGAACGTCTTGGGTGCCTCGGGGGAGCCTCTTGGGGCCTCTTGGGGGCCTCTTGGGGGCATCTTGGGGGCCTCTTGGAGGCCTCTTGGGGCCTCTTGGGGCTCTTTGGGAGGGGTCTGGGAGGAATCTTGGGGCCATCTGTCGGGCGATCGATCACAGATGGGGCGAGCACTTTTCTCCCCCCCCCTGTCGGGGCCAGAATCCTCGTGAGGGGTGTCGAATTTTAGCCCTCCCAGGAGTTGAAAAAGACCCCTCCAACGACCCGCGGAACGCCCTCTCCAGGCCCAGGGGGAGGGGGTAGGGGGAGGGGTAAACCCCTCCCCGAAGGGGAAGAAGGGGGGTTGAGAACAGAGAGAGCTCGCTAAACCACTCACGCCCAAAGGGCTGGTGGGACTCACGAACAGATTTCAAATGGGTGGTCTAGGCATTCAAGTCACTCTTACCATTGGCGCTGAGTCTGTGTTTAAGTCACTATCCAGTAATGATTAAGACAAAAAACTGAGTGTACACTGTTCGGTCATATTAGCTGGATCTGACAGGCGATGGATAGGTGCATTTTACACAGCATACAGGTGCGACAGACGAGATATGACTGCCGACGGCCATACCAAAGGCAGCACATAACGTGACTTACTACTAAAGGTAATGTCTCGTAGGCAATCCTTCATACACGAGCTGAAGACGCACACGCCTTGCAGGGCTCCGACCTCGAAGGTTCAGCCCGCCTCTTGACGAGCCGGCGGAGTACATACGCAGTGCGTGGGGACATTTCTATAAGGACGAGCTTGTCTTCATATCCGCGTTTATTTGGCCGTCTTCGTTGCTTGGTCTTCTGGGTCTGCTTTAACATGACCCCGTGGACCCGTCGCTGGCGCTTGGCCAGATCGGGTACTGCTAACACCCAGCCTGCAGCATTTGATTTTGCAGGCCCGTCACTGGCACTTGGCTAGGTTGAGATCTGCCGTCGCTTTGCAGACTCAGCCTGGCGTTGGCCAGGCTGGGTACGGTTCGTCTGGATACGAACCGCATGGCCCCTTGCCGTTTGCATTCGCTCCGCAGTAAAATGAACCTTGATGCTCGCTGTCGCTCGTCTCCTCCCCTCTCGATTCCGAAACAGATCAGACGGCTGGGATATACATATAGCGAGCGTAGCGAGCATCCCGCTAGCGTCTGGCTCAAGACGCCGGCGTCCTACATGCTTGGGCCGCTGGTTTTACCAGCGGCCGATGCACTGTCGCATCGGATGCACCATCCTACTTCTTACATCCAACCTACCATCCAACGGTCCTCATCCTGCTTTTTGCTCTCTCTCTCTCTCTCTCTCGGAGTGCCCTCCGGTGCCGTTTCGGGGCTCTTAGGGGGCTCGGGGAACTCGGGGACCCTGCCAACCCCTCCAGTTTTTTGACTAGATATATGCTCTCCCTCAGAGGATTCGATATGGATATATGGATATATGATTTGAACCGTTGCTGCTGCTCGTCCTGGGGGGCCCTCGTCGCCACGGCCCGATTCTCGTCGGAATTCTAATCAGAATGCGCCGCGGGAGAGGTACGGGGAGTAGCGGTATCGATTTCCTGTTGTCCTACCAGTTCTGGCGCTTTTCTTTCAGATCCCAGCTTGCCCCAGCGCGCAGCTCAGGCCAGGTAAGAAGAAACGCAGCAAGGTCAGAGAGAAGGAGCCCGAACCCTATCTCCACGAGGCCGCCAGCCGGGCGGGTGGGGTGCTTCTGTGTCCTGCGGAGTGGGCGAGAGGTAGCGAACGACGGGGGAGGAACGCATGGGTGGAGGGGGGGGCGAGTGACGGGGAGCGGAGTGAAGGGGTGCGAGGAGCGGTAGGGATGGATGGAAGAAGGGAGGGAGGCAGGGAGTCTGGGAGTGAGCGACACTGAGCTATTGTCAATGGAGGGAAAGGAGGGAGGCGTTGGGAAGGAGCAGCAGTGAGTCAGATGGCTTGGGAGGGGAAGGGAGGCGGGAAGAGAAAAGGAGGAAGAGGAGGAAGACGAGGGGGAAGAAGAGGATTGTCAAGGCTGTCGTCTAGGACGTGGGTAAAATTCCCTGGCCCAACGGGCCAGAGGCGTGCTAAGATCTCCAGTATTGGTTCACAAAACATATGTTTATTCTAATTCGCGCGCGGGGCGGCCCTTGGGGGTCCCCGGACGAAAAGTACCCCAGCCGACTCCCGGCAAGGTCCCGGCAAAGCCCCCGCAAGTTCCCAGCAAGATCCCAGCAAGATCCCAGCAAGGTCCGCTCAAGGATGCCAGAATTCCCGGGGGTGGTTTTCGGGGCCTTCCAGATCGCCCCAGGACCGGCCCAAGAAACTTCCAGGCAGCTCCAAAAGGGCCCACGAATCGGAGTCACGGACCAAGAGCGCTCCAAGACGCCCAGGATGGCCCTAAGACGGCCCAAGAGGCCCCAAAGAAGCCCCAAAAAAGCGCCCCAAGAGGACCCCCAAGGGGGCCAAAAGAAGCACACATCATGAATTTTCATAATGTGTTTAAAGATGTTTCGCGTTCTCGCATTTTCGGGCTTCCGACGCTCCAAGATGGCCCCAGAGGCCCCCAAGATCGCCCCAAGACGGCCCGAGAGGCCCCCAAGAGGGCCCCAAGACGGTCCAAGAGGGCGCCAAAACGGCCCCGGAGGTGCCCAAGATCGCCTAAGAGGGCCCCAAGACGGCCCCAAGAGGGGGAACACGAACCACCAATTCGAGCCTTCTGCACCAAGAGGCGCCCAGGAGGCCCCAAGAGGCCGCCCCCAAGAGGCCCAAAAAGAGGCCCCAAGAGGCTCCCGACCGGCCACCAAGAAGCCCCAAGAGGCCACGAACGTGCAGGCAAACGCCTGCGATGGCACAATACAGTCAGGGCAGGTGGAATGAGCGAAACGAGTAAATATGTCCATGTTCGTGTCCTAGCTCCCCACACCATGTTCCCTAACAGCCTGCCAGGATAAAAACACGAGAGTCCCAAGCAGCGCTACCTGCCGTCACGCTTGGAAACGCGTCAGGCTCCGAAGCCTCCGGAGGCGCCCAACAACACCCCGACAAATCATGTTCCCAGGAAGTCTTACTGTCAGTGCCGCCGACGTTGAAGGAGGACGGTCCAGGACACCCAGAAATCTCCCAACCAGGCTTCCAAGAGGGCGCCGAGACAGCCCAGGGTTGCCCCAAGACGGCCCAAGAAAGCCCCAACACAGACGAAAAGGGCAGCAAAAGGCCCCCAGGAGGCCCCGAAACGAGGACATATCGAACACGCCCAAGATGGCCTCCAGACGGCCCACAAGGCTTCCAACACGGCCCAAATAGACGCCCAAATCATTGATTGTCCTTCGATTTCTGATGTATTTCAGACACCCCTCGAGGGCGCCGAGACGGCCCATGAGGGCGCCGAGACGGCCCAGGGACGCCCTGCCGCGGTCACGAGGTGGGCCCGGGATGGGGCCCTCGCACCGGGAGGCCTCGGGGCCCTGCCGTGGCGCTGGGGGCTTTGTAAAGTCGCAGAAGACGGCCCTGGATTGCCAGAAATGGCGTTTCCAGACAACGAACACGACCAATGACCGCCCGAGATCACCCCAGAATTAGTCCCTGACTGTCCAAGAGGCCTCCAAGACGCCCCAGGAGGTCTCCAAGATGGCTCCCAAGGAGCCCCAGGAGGCACAACTAATTTGTTTTCCCTTGGTTTTTGATCGATTTTCGAGTTCTCGCCTTTTGAGTTTCCTGACGCTCCACGACGGCCCAAGAGGCTTCAATTTCCGCTCCAAGGCATCCCCAGAGGCCGAGGGGGACCACGACTGCAAAATTCGACCCTCCCGCTTGAAGCGTGCCCCAGGAGGCTTCAAGGAGCCCCCAAGAGGCCCCAGGAGGCCCCCAAGAGGCACCCAGGAGGCCCAAACGAGGCCTAAAGAGGCCACAAAACAGCCCCGAGGAGGCCCCACAACGGTCCCAAAACGGCTACCGAGAAGCTGCGAAACTGCCTTCACGACGTCCCCGACAGGCCAATCACGAGATCCAAACCAACACCCATGAGGCCTCTGACCCACCACCCAGGGCACGGTGGCGGGAGCAGTGACAGCACTTGTGCACAGCATGTTCTGGCGGGAGCCTTCCGGAACACGCTGCAGGAGGAGGAGCAGGAAGATCAGGAGGAGAGAGGGCCGGAGTGGGAGGAGGAGGAGGAGGGGGACGAGGAGGAGGAAGAGGCCTCCCAGACAGCTCCAAGATAGCCGAAGAGGCTTCCAAGAGGGCCCTGGGCGGCCCACGAGGGCCCCAAGGCGGTGCCTGAGGCGCCCAAGACGGCCCGAGAGGGCCCCAAGAGAGGCCCAAGAAGGGAAACACGAACCGAGAATCCGAGCTTTCTACCCCGAGAGGTTCTCGGGAAGCTCTGACCCACCACCCAGGGCACGGTGGCGGGAGCAGTGACAGCACTTGTGCACAGCATGTTCCGGCGGGAGCCTTCTGGAACACGCTGCAGGAGGAGGAGCAGGAAGATCAGGAGGATAGAGAGCTGGAGTGGGAGGAGGAGGAGGAGGGGGACGAGGAGGAGGAAGAGGCCTCCCAGACAGCTCCAAGATAGCCGAAGAGGCTTCCAAGAGGGCCCTGGGCGGCCCACGAGGGCCCCAAGGCGGTGCCTGAGGCGCCCAAGACGGCCCGAGAGGGCCCCAAGACGGCCCCAAGAGAGGCCCAAGAAGGGAAACACGAACCGAGAATCCGAGCTTTCTACCCCGAGAGGTTCTCGGGAAGTCCCAAGAGGCCCCCAATCGGATCCAAGAGGCCCCCGAGAAGCTCCCAAGAGGGCCGACGAGGTTCCAAGAGATCTCCCAAGGTGGCCCCAAGAGGCACAACTCATTGTTTTGCGATTGGGCTTTGACGGGTTTTAATTTTTTCGGCCTTCTGGCATCCCGATGCTCCAAGACGGCCCAAGAGGCTTCCAATACCGCTCCCACAGAGGAAGAGACCTCCAAGAGGGCCCCAAGACGGTGCTTGAGGCGCCCAAGACGGCCCGAGAGGGCCCCAAGAGCCCCAAGAGAGGCCCAAGAAGGGGAACGCGACCCAACAGCAGAGCGGTCCCCCCACAAGGCCCACAGGAGGCTGCAAGAGGCCCCCAAGTGATCCGACGAGGACCCCAAAAGCTTCCCTAGGGCCTGAAAGGCCCCTAGGAGACGTCCAAGAGGTTTAAATTAGCCCAGGAGTGCCCTCGATGCGTTAAAACTGTTTCCAGGAGGCCGGGAGGCTTCCGGATTGCCTCAATCGGGAGCCTTGAGACGGGGGTCAAAGCAAACGGGGGTCAGCCAGGGCGCCAGATCCTGCAGGATCCTGCGAGGACCCCCTCTGGCTGACCCGGGTCAGGGAGCCGCTCGTGGCCGCGGGGCGGCCGCGCCTATTGGCTGACCCGGGTTTGCGAAGATCTGCGTTGCAGTTTTTTTTTCCTGCATTGCAGTTTTTGGTTTCCTGCTGACCCGGGTCTGGATTGACCCGGGTCAGGAGATCCCCGACTCAATCTGGCCGCAGGTGGCCTCAAGTCGGGCCTCCACGCAGCCAAGACGGTCAATGACGGCTTCAGATTGCAGAACCGATGCCCCCAAGGGACCCTCAGACGCCCCCCCAAGAAGCACCCAAGAGGTGCCTCCAACAGCCAGTTGACGAAGCATGCGGAACACCCCAGAAGCTCCTCAGATGCCGTCGCGCGCCTGTGCTTGATAGCGTTGTCCAAGATCGTCCAGCGCCCCCCCGGCCTGGGCTAGAACCTGAGCGCGCGCGAAGCGCGCGTGATGGTTCTAGCATATGTATATATATATATATATATATATATATATATATATTCTGGGGGACGAGGCCCCCTGGCC